CCCCCCCCCCAATAAAAAAATAGTGAAAAAATTAAATTTCCAAACAAAAATTTAAAAAATTAAAAAATGCTCATTCCATTCGACTTGATATCTGGATTCTAGACCATTTCGGAAACATCTGTTTTGACCATGTCTGATAGACCCACCCAGTCTAAGACTGAATCCCAGCAGTATATCAGAGATACGTATCGACAGAATTATTTCGCCAAGCGAGAAGCGAAATCATGTCTTCCGCAGCCCAAAAGGCGAAGGTCCGAACCAGTACACCCCAGGAATCGGGAGTGACTAAGCTCAGAAACATTTTTTTTTCAAATTTGTTCAACGGCGTGACAAGTCCTTTAAACCAGCAGTGAGAGAACACAACACAAGGCTTAAGAAAGATTATATATATATATATATATATGACAAACTATCTGTTTCAAGGCACTGAGTATCTACATGTACACACGTAAATTTCTAAACGCTACAATGCCAGATAGTAATAAATATATACATGTATTTCTAACCACCGCTATACATGCCTAAAATATGAACAAATACATCGCAATTAAAAATGTACAGATATTATATATATATATACACACAAATACAAGCACTATTTTTTTTAACGTGATCAGTAACACTAGTAAACTAAGAACACGTAAATGTAAGTACATCGTAAGCGTAACCAAAGGAGTCAACTTATCATGTCAGAAGAACGATTCTTCAAAACGAGCATTATACAAGTCAAAAGTAATCAAACATAAAATTCAGCTATAGGGGGAAGGGGGGGGGGGAAGGGGCAAGAAAATGAACGCGTTAGTAGGTTAGTGCACACAAATCATATGCATAAATTATAATAATAAACCCAAGGAATGGCAACAATCAACTAAGAAATTATCAAATTCAAATTCATGCGAAAGCGATCAAACTCAAACTCAAACTCATCACAATCTCAAGAGGCAACCCATTTTCCCAAGAGTGAATGGCCAACCCATGTATGGCGCAAAACAACCCACGTAGGGCGCAGACCATTCACAGATTATTAAAACTGAAAGTGAAAGGGGAAAAAACCCGGGGGGATAAAATAAATATATATGTCGTGTCTCCAGTGTTAACACATACACAGGAGGAGACGCTTCACTCGCAAACATAAAACACACAACACACAAACGTACACACACTGAGAAGAGGGAAAGAAAGTTTTTTAGTTTTAGTAGAGGTTTTACGGCGCTCGCAACTGCAGAAGGTCATATGAGCGCCAGAAGATTAGAGGTGTTACAAGAGAGTAACAAACATAAAAAAAGAAGAAGGGGAGATAAGGATGATAGATGTTTGATAAGAAAGAAGGAGCAAATCACACCAGAGCACCCGCCAACCACCCACAGGGAGAGAAAGGATCTCTTGTAAATACAAAGACACACACCATAATCTCCCTCTCTCTCCACGCGCGCGCACACGTACTCAAACATACATACGCGCACACCCAA